TATATAACTGCCGTTTCTAGGAAACGGCTCTGCCAAAAGGAACGAACGCAACAATTCCAAGGCAACTGCAATGCAACAGAGCAGCGCTGTTTTCTAAGTGGTCCTTCGCGAGATGTTATAAGCAATACAAGTCAATGGAGAGACATACTTACTTACTTACTTACTTACTTACTTACTCATGGAACTGAGCCCTTCTGGAGGAGCCGCCAATTCTGCAGCTACTCAAGAATTTCCCAGCATTTTATGGAACCCGAAGGTTCATTACCGTGTTCACAAGAGCCCTCCACTGGTCCCTATCCTGAGCCACATCAATCCAATACACACCATTCCATCCTATCTCTCTAAGATCCATTTCAATATTGTCCACCCACCTACGCCTTGGTCTTCCCGGTGGTCTCTTTCCTTCTGGCTTTCCCACCAATATTATACGCATTCCTCGTCTCCCCCATTCGTGCTACATGCCCTGCCCACCTCATCCTCCTTGATAATTGAGAGAAATAGTCAGTCGAAAGATAGTCTGCAGGCAGTCGGTTGGTGAGTTAACGAATTAGTTAGATAACCGCTGGGGTTCAGTTGTTGTGAGCTGTTGCTGTGAGAATCTGTCTCCTGAGGCTGGGGACAGTTCGGGAACCAAGGAGGAACACATCCGCCGTTGGAAGCTGCTACCAAGCAACGGTTACTGAAGACTATAACAGACTGAGAAGACCTAGTGTGTCATATTGTGATTTGTGTAGTGTGTAGAATAGTGGGAATATTACTCTTACTTCTTGTTACGAGTTTTAAGAATTCAGTAAATCCGCTTATCACGTCTAACCCCGTCTATAGTCACTCTATCACGTGACAATATTCCCTCGTTTTTGCACCCTAATGTTGTACGTTTATAGTGTTGTGTGAGTCATCTTACATGGCGTGTGCAGGTGTTCTTCAACAGCAATTTTCGAAGCACCAAATTATGGTCATATCGGTCGAAACATGCAGTGAACTAGTGATGTGAAAAATAATTTCAAAATTCAAAGTCAATTTTAAGATTTTAAAGCAAGTTTGCGTGTGAAACGGAGAATGAAAAGTAACTATCAGCTGGATGCTGCAGTACTACAATAGTATACAGACTTATTATGGGCGTTCTGTGCGTTTATTAAGCTTATTTGAAAGTAAGAATAAGCCAAATAATCCAAATTTAGTGAATTTTCTTTAATGCTAGTGGGGTGGGACTAAGTCCCTTGTACTGCGGCCACTTCTGGCCTATTGTACCAGCCCCAGATGATAGGTGAGGGTGATTGTGGAGCAATTGATGGAATGAAGATTGGCAAGAGAAACCGAAGTACTCGGAGAAAACTTTGTCCACCACAAATCCCACTTGACCAGACCCGGGATCGAACCCAGGCCGCCGCGGTGGGAAGCCAGCGACTAACCGCTTGAGCTATGGCGAGGTCGAATTAAGTGATAGTAGGCATATGGAATTTCAGCGAAATATTTGGAAGGTCTGTGGAGTGCTTTGTGCTGAGGATTAACATGGCTGGAAGTGGCAATTGGCTCACAGCGGAAGAGTAATCATTGGCTCTCATCTTCTGGTCATATTCATAACTACTCGCTAACCTATATAAATACTAAATATTTATAACCTTATGAAAACCAGATTATATTATTGACTAATATGACTAAAATCGAGGCACACGGTAGCGTATTTGGTTGAGGCACTATACTACAAGCAGGAAAAGTCGCGGTTTCGATTCTCGATGAGGTCAGTGGAATTTGTAATTGACCTAATCCCCCTAGCCGCACTATGGCCCTGAGGTTGACTTGGCCTCTTAACATAAATAATTACCAGAAATCTTCCTGGGAGTAAAGTGTGGCTGGCGTGTAGGGCTGAAAAACTCACAGCCAGCTTTGAACCGATTTTCTAGAAAATGTGGGAGCCTCGACGTCTCACAACCCTGTGGGCCTCCACGGCCTGTTACAACAACAGTTTTATCTTATAGCGGAAAATTAGAAGTGACCTACAGCTTTGTGGAGGTGAGTTTTCAATACTGAATTTCAATAAAATTGGTGAAAAATTTTACGTAAATTGGACTTTATTATAAAGCAATGTGGCCGGAAGTCGTAACTGCACAACAACCTTTAGGGAAAATAGCTCTTATCGACATTTTTGGAAACATATCCAACCGTTTTGGTCCTGATACCAGGTCCCAGGAAGATGTGAAGACACGCGATATTTTCTATTTTGTAAGGAGCACCTGCAAACAAATTTTTGAATAAATGACTACTTTCAAGTCATCAAACGTTCTTTTTCGCATTGGACACCTGTGGACATATCTCTGAATATGTGATGAAATAAACATATAGATGTGACATAGTGTGATATGGCATAATTAAATAAACACTCTTATAGCGAGTAAATTAGAATGAAGGCACCTACTTGGTTACATACTACAAAAATACATACTGGAAGCACAGAATAATAATTTGATTAAATATTTTTGGAATGTTTATTTATCGGGATCAATGTATCTGCCCAGCAACAATGGAAACACAATTCAGACTAATATAAATTGTTCGGAAATCGCTGATTGTTGAAATATAATGATCGTAGTACTGAAATATTAAGATATTGTCACGTGTTGGGTGTGTCACGCGACAAATTTCACGTGGGTCTCGGATTCAGCGAGTCTTTATTGGACATTCACTCTTACACACCGTACAATTGTTACCACCTTAATTGTATCCTGCGGCGGCTATCTTCCAACTGTCTTGTATGGCGACTTGGTTCCAACTGTGCTCTATGAAGGCTAGAGCTCTACTGCGGTCCTGTAGCTCTGTGCTCTCGACTTATATAGGCGTTCTGCGGACCGGATACGAGACACCATTCGCCACGGTCCGACCTCACGTGTTCGGCAATCCGTTGCTTCGGGAACGCTCTCTATAGATTACGGCGGTAACGTGTTTCGTCTCACCCGTTGACACTCAAAGGCCTTCTGCTGCTCACCTCCGGGGAAACGCGTTCCTTGTTTCGGCATTGTCTCCGCAGCGGCCCACTGTTATTGCGTTGCCATGGAAGTATCTACTCCAAACACGTTACAATATAATGAATTTGTAAAATTCAATATAATTACCCCATTTGATTTTATGGAACAGCATACAGCTACATAATTCCTCCGAATTTAAAGAGCCCCCAAATTTTTAAATATAAAACTGCGAAGGAGAGAAATCTATATAAATAAAAACTTACTGTGTAGTGTACAGGAAATTTAAAGCAGCGGTTTCCGAAAAATTTCAAACCTCGCTGCTCCTGGGTATTATGTTGCTCTGTGGAACTCCTTATTTGGGCTGGGAAGGACATTACGGACAGGAAAGATGCTGTCATACTATACGGTTGTCTGCGCATCTAAAGAAATAATAATAAAAAACAAACATTCTTAAATCACAACTCTCAGAGATAAAAGAAAAACATAAAACAAAACCTATACTAGACTACGAGAAATATGCAAAATAAAAAATTCTCTCAATTAACTTTAATCTTACCTCAGAGATTTGGAAACAATACCATTCCTCGATATCAGTTACGCCTCCGTCCGGGTCCGTGCCGTATAGCTCAGGAATTACTGAAACGAATTTTAATATATAACGAACTTCATGGAGCTGAGCCCTTCTTGAGAGGCTGCCAGTTTTCATAATAGCTCTCCAATAGTACTTATCCTGAGACTTTGTTACATTCATAGAAAACTTATTTTTTTACTGTGAGCAATTTAAGACCCACGCCCAACCCCAAATCTTAAGGACCGTTTCTTGTCAGCTGTCTGCGACTGCTGTTCAATACGCTCCATATCTGGAGGCCGTCTGCTCCATCCGCAACTTGAGGACGCGCCATGCCGTGGAGTGTCGTAATACATGAAATAAATAATTTAAAAACATAAATCTTTCGGTGGTAGACTCATAGTAACGTTCCTAGTCTAAAATAACTACAAATATTCTTATATAGGGCACAGAAATGGGCTCATCCCCCTCCCAAGGAGTCGTATCTACTGTCTAAATTTAAAAAATTGAAGTGAAACGAAGCCTTCCTCGGATACCATGTGAGAGCAACCGGAACAAGACAGAGAGATTATAAAATAGCATATAAAATAATTTACAGACTCTCAACATGTATCCTGCAATTTGCTTGCGGACTCCAAGCCGCTGTGCCACCAATCTGTTCTCGTAATTACTTTTCGGAATCTAGATTTCACAACCAAAATATGAGGGCACGGTTTTACGGAATTTTTCGAATATTTAATTCAATTTCTGTTTAAATATTTTCACAAACAAATCATTTTATTGACTATTTTATTTTGTTATAATTATTTATTTTTAAATTCCATATTTCCAAAATTGGAAATATCATGTGAATGAAAGTTGGGGGTGGTAAGAGTAGCAGGAACAATCATCACAAAACCTGGCACTGAGACACAAATATTGAGAGTGGAGAAGAAGAACATTAACAAGAACAAGAAAAGAGGGACAAGAAGGAGGTCTTCATAAGGGTCGGACGAATACTGTAACTGTACCATACTGTTTCACGAAAGCCTCCAATAAATACAATATACAGTTTTCTTTCTAAATTACTTACCAAAGCGAAGTTTCGTTTCAAAATAATTATATGCTTGCTATCCAATAACGTCGGCAGTTTTTACCAAATCCGGTCAGGCGCGTTCACATTAAAGTCAAAATATGTAGCAAGATTCTCTCTAACTCCCACATGATGTCATCAAAACCAGACAGTAAGTTTATGGAATGTCTCGCTTACAAACGATATGATATATTCTACTATTGAGCAGATATTCGCTATGACTGGTTTGTCTATGAACTGCTGGTGTGTATCTTGATTTAGAAGTAACGCAGTTTTATGCTCGGTGTTTTGTATTACAAAACGTCACGTTACCAACATAATAAAATATTTTCAGTTCATTTTCACAACTGCAGTCACGGAAATGCGGTTACAACATAAAATAAGATGGAACAAAGAATATATTTCGAAAATGTAATTATGTGTATATATATTCTTTTTATATTCTGTCACGGAATTCATAAAAACCATCTCGTTTTCTGTCATTCTAAATGTAGATGACCATTCACAACATAAAATTTTGGTGATAATGTTACATAGATAAGTGTGGAAGAATATAGAACAATAATTTTATATCATTTTCGGCATATCAGTATGCTATCTTTTGTTAACCAGGAACATAAGGAATATATTACTTCATTAGGCTTCCAATTGATTTGGAATTAAATGTTGTAGTAAATGTCTGCATTATCACGGCTAAGCTATTGGAAAATGCTTCTGAAAAATTTTAAAAATAAATAAGTAACTTCTGACTTCCATTTTCTTCCATACATTTCTATACATTAATCTCAACATATAATTAATGTAGATTCACCAGAATTATAAAAGCTTGTAGTTTTCTTCTTGCTGCGATCAGTTCCACACACTTGTAGGCTCTTAAAAGCGACATCGCCATGTCACGATGCATGCTGCTGCCGTCACATGACCATTCGTGGAACTAAAGATGTTTTGCTTATCCGTGAGCACAGGATTAGCATTCCCCAGGATTTTCACGAAGAGACTGTAACAGAGTCCTCTTGCGTCCACACGTTGACTTCTAAATGGAACTAATTTCAAGTGTTTTCAATCGACAATCAGATATTTAACATGAGTAGTTCGTGAATGTGATACGGAGAAAACAATTTGGAGGCGACGAAAATGGAAGTCTCAAATCTGAGAGAGTAAAATATAGTCGCGAGTCCCAAGGGACGCGGACCAGAGAAAGACAGAGCTGAGGAGGGCCAGCAGCATATACAAAAGACAGACCCGTCCTCTCGTCAGAAAGGGTACCCCACAAAAACAACATCGTAATTGTCAAACAGTAATAAATATCTGGTCATGAGCCCTAGATGGGTCTCGACACCACTACTTACTGAATGACCTTCAATCGCAATGTGACTTTGACTTTGGCTAGAGTGTCGTACATCGGAATTCAGGGAGTCGGCAGTCGAAGGAATTAGACTGTGCCAAAAAGACTTGAAGACTGTACGTGTTCTGTAGTTACAGTGATATATGAAGTGACAGTGAGGCTATGATAAATCCGTTGCCAAGAAACGGAGAGTAAGTACTAGTGAAAGCATACTGGGAAGATTCGGTGAGGTGTGATCGGCATGAGTGTTATACTTAATTGCAGTTACGACTTGTGAGTGATACATAAATCAGAACCCCTTCTATAGTCATTAATATACATATGTAACAATACTATATTTATGGAAAATAAAGTAAATAAAATTTAAACCATATAACAGGAAACAATATACCAAAAAGTAGAGTTATATATCATGAAATTTAGTGCATAGCATTAGGTTTACTTGCTATGACTGGGAGAGACAAACAATGAACATGACTGGCGAGAGGCAGGACTGTTGACCTGTCAACTGTGTTATTAGGTCTGCAACTTCTCCTGATGACTGACCTATCGAATAACACACGCCTGAACTTCATTAAAGGTGTTTACATCTATGTAGTAATGCTTACTGGCCAAACACTCTGTCATATTTCCAGGTTACCGTAACCTTAAGTGTTATGATAGAAAATAATATTACAAGCAGAGGTTTTCTTTCGGAACTACTGAATTTTTGGACTTTGTCCATCGTTCCTTATTCTAAAGAAAAAAGAACACAACTTTTCGGAAACTCGATCTCTCTGGCGATTGAAGTTAGCTCTTTCTAGCGGACTCAACAAAGTATGTGTGTCCCCAACCCCTTCACCTGAGAATGGAAATAGGTCCGGTTTCCTAAATTTAGTGTTCTTATGTTCTTTACAATACCGAGAGATTGACAAAGTCCAAACCCCCAGTAAATTCGATTGTTGTACACCATTATAAGGAAATCTTAAGAGTCAGTCTCTGTGTTAGGTCTCATGATATTTTGTGATCCTCTCAAATATTAACATCACATTCACGAACTTGGACACGTGGCGGAGAAATGGCGTCAGGTTTTATGAAGTTATTCGACAATGAATCCAGCAGATAGACCTCCATGACACTGGCCTGCTATAACTCTTGTAGCAGCCACGCTGTGATGTCAACTGCAACGCCTTGTTACTGGAGTCTCACTTGTGTACCTAGAACACTGGCACTTTGATATTTTATGTTCATTTGATATGTTTAGTGGGAAAGGTAGGCTCACCTTAATTACTTGACTGTGTCATGTTGTATAGATACAGTAATTTATATTAAGCAGTTTTTGCATTTTATTTTCACAAAGTTTTAATTGTCTAGAGTGATGCTGGCGCTCAATGCTGTTTCCAACTGTTGGCTGAAACAAACAGACACAAATTAATTAATAATCACACACATGTAGTAAATATGACTTAAATAAATCGATGGATTGAAGAGTGGGTGTTTGGAAATTAAATTAAAATTCTGATATGTGCCAAATTTAATTTTGTTATTAATAATTTTAAAATGGATTTAATAGTTCAACTCTCCAGTTCATAATGCTTAAAGAAAGACGCTGTTTGCATTTCCGGTTGACAGGTATTATTCAGAAAAGTTATTTGAATTTAAACGTCCACATTTCACTCGAAAATTAAGTTTATGGAGCGGTGCAAATTGTTACGTTAAAAACGTGGTAAAGAGTTGGCAGGACAGGGTTATCTTTCAATTAGAATGACATAAACGAAAGATGAGCAAGTTTCTCAAGTGGCATTTGTGGTGGACAAAGTGACGCTGGGGCAGGTTTTCTCCGAGTACTTCGGTTTCCCCTGCCAATCTTCATTCCACCAATTGCTCCACAATCACCCTCACCTATCATTTGGGGCTGGTACGATAGGCCATAAGTGGCCGCAGTACAAGGGACTTAGTCCCACCCACTAGCAATAAAATATTAAGGAGAATACTTGGGCTATAAAAGTAACATTTGAAGCAGAGTACCGTACAGAAAGGTACACATTTCTTACCACTAGAACTGAAAGATATAACGAAAGAAAACGACCTGGACACAAAAACTAAAAAAAACACACAATATATTTTATACGAGATACAGTAAAATCTTATTTATTCGAAATTAGGTAAGTAGAAATTCACGGTATTTCGAAAAAAAACTTTCGTTACGAACTTGATTATCACAATATCGCTACCTTATACAAAGTTAAGACTGATATCAAAATTTACATTTCTACATTTTATAGCTAATAAATTTATTTTATGATATGCAATTTAAGTTTCAAAATAAAGTTCTAGTGCCTAAAAAGGCACTTGAAATCCAGTTTATAACTTTAATGAAATTATTTTAAGTAGCAATTCTAAAATTAGAGCTTTCACTAATTTGGGCAAGGGTTCGCTCCCAGTTGGTTCCAATTACTGAGCTCTTACTCAATTTGCAAATTAAATATTTTAAAGTCATTTCTAAATACAAGGCTCTCAAGCTTGTAATAAGGAAAAAGAATGTTCATACACAATAGATGTCATTAATATATTGAATAATATTACAGACAGTTGGAGAGCAAAATTTTCTTAACCGTAGGCGCAGCCAGGAGCCTGTCCAAGGGAGTGCGGTAGGGTGCGAACGGGGCAAACATTTTCCAAGGGAGGTGGCCAGAAAACTTGCTTACGTATTTACGTTAAAGTTATTTAGCACTGTTTTTACAAATATATATTCAGTATTCGATATATAATGTTTTCTGAAAATAATTTGATTTTGTATTAACATTTGGTATATTTTAATCTTGTTTTAATTTTAATAATTTCCCAAAACTTAACAGCGCTGGGAAAAGAAGAACGAATTAATAATATTCTTTAGAACATCGCTTGCATAAAGCAAGTCCCTGTTTTGTTGTGCACTGTAGAGAATAAGAATTTGATTTTGTCTGGAATTCATTCCGTAGACGAAAGATGACATGCAAAGCTTTAAGTTAACTAAAATACTCTGCAAGGAATGTCTTCAGTTTGCTGAATGGTGTTATGTACAGATACGCTTAGTTAATGGCAATAATTATAAACTGCAGAACTACATTCTGCGCGTTAGAGTAGGCACATTTAATAGTGAAATAAAGACACAATAAGTTAGTATTCTTGAGAGTTGGCGACTGCCATTTTGTGCAAGACCATGGTCGACCGACAACAAAATGGTAGGTGGGTGAGACGATCATTTAGCGTGCCGCACAACGTGTTTCAGAGAGGAAAAGGTCAGCTTAAAGGTCACTCACCTCTATAATATACTTCTCTGTACATACTTGGGCAATATTTCCCTCCCTGGAAAGAAAAGAACAAACAAACATTTGTAGAAGACAGGAAACAAAACTGCATTCACTGTGAACGGAAACAAACGAAGAAATATTCAATCACTACTTTACAGAAATATAAAATAAAATGTTTTATTTTGTGAAAGAAACAGGACAATCATAACATAAACATTAGCATATGATAAGAACTATATACATATTATTTATTTGCAATGTGTATTTGAAATATATATAAATGTGAATATTTAATTAAATACAACAAATCAGTGATACCTGATAAAACACTCCGGAACAAATATTTGGGGCTGGGTGGGCCCCAGAGCTATGTGAATTCCGTGGAGAAGAGAAAGCATTTTTCGCCCGCCGGTAATCAAACCCCGATTCCTCAATCATCCAGCCACTACCCATTATTCTGAATGAAATATTCTTGCTTCCTCTAAATATTGCTAAGGTGAGTACATAAGGAAGAATGATATTGGAAAGTCATGTAGCAGGAATGGACTAAAATTCAGAGTGAACTTAATTCAGTATTCAGATTAGAAACAAATAAGAGACGCGGAGAAAAGAGAGGAACGAAGAGAAAGGAGGAATACAAAGAGGAAGACAGAATTAGATCTGCATTTCGATGAGGAGTTACAAACTGTCAAATATGTCGGATATTTTCCATCGTCTCGTTTCTGCTGAAAGAACCACAACGTTTCGTAAGCTGCTTCTCTTTCCATCATCAGGATAACTGTAGAAGCCTAATATTCTCTTGTATCGAATGGAGATACTTTTTATCGTACGACCTGAGATAATCGTTCGGAAAATGTTAAGGAATTACTTTTTTCTGCGGAGGAGGGATTTGAAACTTTTAACAGATCTGAGAGTGGGGAGGTGAACAGGAGGTGACGGCGCTAATGGACGAAACAGAGACGCGGGTTCCTAACCAATAGGAGGTGACCACGTGGATGAGGAAAAGATTTTCCGGAGGACCAGATGGGCATTTATGAGTGTTATATTATATATATTAAGATGGTAGTTTCTTTAGCTTAAGTCGTTTATCCAAGGAATCCGTCCAAGGCTTTGTGTTCATTTTCGTAACATAATTTTTTTACGGTGAGGAGTTTTTAGCCCCACACCCAACCACAAAGCTGGAGGGCCACCCTTTGTCGGCTATCCGCGACTGTTTATTCAATATATTCACAGCTTCCCTCCAAAACTGGATGCTGTCTCCTCCATCCGCAACCTGATGACGCGCCATGCCGTGGTTCAAGTATAATTATAATGATCAAGTCAAGGCGGATGAGGTGGGTAGGGCATGTAGCACGAATGTTGGAGACGAGGAATACGTATAGGATATTGGTGGGAAAACCAAAAGGAAAGAGTTAACTGGGAAGACCAAGGCGTAGGTGGGTGAACAATATTAAAATAGATCTTAGAGAGATAGGATGGGATGGTATTGACTGGATTGATCTGGCTCAGGATAGGGACCACTTGAAGGCTCTTGTGAATACGGTAATGAACCTTCAGGTTCCATAAAATTCTGGGAAATTCTTGAGTAGCTGCAGAATTGGCGGCTCCTCAAGGAGGACTCAGCTCCATGAGTAAGTAAGTAAGTATATATGAAGATGGCAACTACAGCGTCTGTCGAAACTTTGGAAGAGCAACATTCTATATAGCTCCTTCCGGAAAGACGAAGTCATACATTAGAACGTAACCTAAGGACAAGAATGGACTGAGGGTGTTTGAGAACAGGATGCTGAAGAGAATATCTGGACGTAAGAGGGATGAACTTACAGGAGGCTTGAGACAACTGCATAATGAGGAGCTTCATAATTTGTACTCACTCCAAAAGTTATTAGGATCTGAGGCTAACACAGCGGTGATTATGAAGAGTTTTATCTTCCGAGTTATAATATCAAACAGCCCTTTAAGCAGGTTACTTGGCTTATATCTCAGAAAATGGAACCCTTTTAATATTGTGACATGTCTCCTGAAAGCTGCAACCTGCCCATCTGCTGGGCGGGGCTTCTCTGAGCACGTTCCCGTGGCAAAGCTGTAAGCGCCGCTGGTAGAGGGCGAATTGTTGGAACACGTTTCCATGGCAACGAATACTACTGAAGAAGCGCTGCATTGCATAGAGTCATGTCGATTCCTACGCAACGCGTATAGAAACGTTTCCGTTACAACGGATAAGTAAACGTTGTTGACACGGCAACGAACTGGTCAAAACACAGTGACGGCTAGGAACCCGAGACATTTACCGGTGCAGGAGATGATCTCCACACGGTTCGAAAAGAACTGACCAACAGAAGACAGAAGAGGACAGAACACAGAAGAAGTGAAGTCTTTAGTTTATGTGTTGTTATCACTGTTCGTAGTTACGATGCGTTAGAGCGAGATTGCGTACACTAGTTCCGCCTTGTGAATATGCAATCCGGAACCCATTAATTCATTTTCGCGTTACCAGGACACGTGACAGCATGATTAGGATGATAAAACCAGGGTAGATGAGATAAGGGAGAAATGTAGCACGCATGGGAGAGAAGGGAATATCCATATGAAATTCTGATCGGAAAGCGTGAAATTGGAAGACCAATACGTAGATGGAAAAATGATTTTGATAAAGAAGATTCAAAAGAGAGATTAGTGATTGACTCTTTCTGAATACAGAAATGGGCCTTAGGTTAGCATGAAATGGCAGGATTATTTCTGCCAGCTGAGCAAATATTAGCTTCCCGAGGAGGGTTCTGCTACGTGGATTTAGTCTGCGTGCAGTGCGGGAGGGAAATCCGATCATGTCCAACTTTTCGACAGCCCGCAATGGGACAGATCCTGCAACACATAATTGTATATTACGATGCATATTGGTGCATGCAATATGCAAATATCCCTAATGGGACAGACGTGTTGCAGTGTTTCCATCACACACGGCAGAGTTGGCCTGGCAAGCTAATTGAAGGTGTGTGATCACATGCATTGCCCACGGAGACGCCCGCTCACTTCCTGTATAAATTCTTCTATCTAAATTGACCAGTTTAACACCAGTGGATAATTCAAAGGCAAGTTTCATCATTTGTTATAAAAGCTTTCATACTATTAATTTCCTCTAGTCTCCTGAATTTCTTTCCAGTTCTTCACTTTATCGAATGATACATAGGGGCCGAAATTTAACGACGTTTCCAACGAATAAAACTCACAAATAGTCAACGGTAAACAGTCTCTTTATATTGTATTCCAAATATCCATATCAAAATAATGTTAGTGCTCACAGAATGCACAACATACACTGAAACAAAAGGCTGATCGCTAGTTTGTGACCAAATATATATCTTACATTTATGTAACGAGTTATCACTGGACATTTCGTTGCTATGGTAACCTAAAACTGTGCAACAGTAGTGTTAATTCTTAAGCTTACAAAGGAAGTCAAGTGAAAAGGGAGAGAAAGACGAAAGAAGAAGAACATAAATGGAGCAAGAAGTCCTGGAGAGAAATAATTATCTACTTTCCTCTGATACGAAACGGACTGAATAGAAAGCGAATAAATTAGGTGGCACACAGACAGCAAGGTAATCTCATAAGCTTAAAAAATAGGATAACGGACATAGAGACAGTCAGCAAGGTGATATCATAAGCCTCTTTCTATTTTTTTTTAAATAGTGTAGGCTAAAGGAATAAGAAAGAGAAGTCTAAGGAGTAGAACGAGAGCAGTGTCGGAGAAGTATAAAAGGATCAAGGAGGACGAGAATATAAGACGGAGGTGACAGAGTACAAGGAAGTAAAAGAAAACGGAGTATTGAGGAGATAAAAGAGATAAGAAGGAGAAGGAACAGAAGAAAACAGAGGAAGGAGTAGCGGAAAGAGGAGGAGAAGGGAAAAGAAGAATTAAAAATGATGACAAGTAGAAGGTGAAGAAAGAGAAATACAAGACGAAGAGAAAGCGAAGAATATTACCTGCTTCTGTGTAGTCCGATATATATCCACAGATGCTTCGGAGGAATGTACCGCCTCAATAATCAGGGTCTAAGAATGAGCCATGAAAGGAAACAGCGAACATAGTTTTCCAACTAACTACAGTTATATGACCAGTGCACTATCAGCGGCTTCGGTAGGTGTTGCGCATGCCCAGTGAGCTGCGCGCGCAGCACCCACCATTTTGACTCAGTCATGGCGTTTCCTGCCTTTCCGCGGTGCTCAGTGTTTGCTCAGTGGCGCTTCCCATTTTACGCGTTTTGATATATGCGGTGATTATGCAGGGAGTTAATCTCCGCTTACAAAGACGATCCCTTGTGCTCTTCATATTTTCCACTGCGATAATCTAAATATTCAGCATAGTCGCGGAGAGTTTATCATCAACGTGAGAATCACTCTGTCATCGGAACAATGCGAGCACACGATTCTTGTCTTGCGTCACATTTTCATAATGAATCATCGAATGGTGATGGCAGATGGAAACGAAGAGAGAAATATTGTAATATTGGAACTGGCCAGAAGCGCTGTGCCGACGGCTATTTCAAGGTTTCACGCAGTCCTGCCATCTAACAAGGACTCTGTGCCACAGAAAAAGGGAGAGTTCATCAACAGTCTTTGAAGTATGATATATCTTTCGAGACCGGTTTCTTCAGTAGTATATTTTATGTTAAATAAATTAAAATGAAAGCCAGTGAGGTATAGCAAACAGAATGTCTTCCAAATATCTGTGAAGTACGTCGCACCTACTTCCTCATCCGCTATTGACCTAGACTATGTTACCCTAGAAATAAAATTGATTGCCTTTCCGCAGGCCATTTCTGGTCGCTGCTTATACAGGATGTCCCAAGTAGAAAGGTCAATATTCCGGGAGGTCATAGTATCGGCCATTCTAAGCAAAAAGTGCATACAGGGTGTTTCACGACTTTAGGACATAACTGCAGGAGGTTATTTCCTAGGTCTTTGTGATCAAAAAAGTTCATATAAACATGTGTCCGATTTTGGACGGTTACGGAGTTATGACCGCTTTAAACTCAGAACAGAAGGTAACGATTA